GTTTAATTCATTTATATTTAATTTTTATCTTCCGCACTGAGAAAAAGAATAGTAAACGTTAGTACAATTATAGTAAATGCTACAATAGTGACCGATAAATATATGGATAACATCAGCCTCTTGTACTGATTACAAGTGTGGAATGTGGTTACTACATCTTATTGTAATAAATTTTACAAGTGTTCCTACGCCTATTGTTGTAGGAATACACATATACAGGGTGAGTCAAAATAATCTGATGTCCTTGCCATATTCTTGAGCGAATTCTGAGACGATTTTTCCTTTTACAAAATTTTGTCCGAAGCTTAGTTTTCGAGTTATAATTGAAAATAGGTAGCAACTTACGAGTTCGGTACAACGGGCAGGCAGGGACGCACAACGTATAATGAGACTGTCAAGTGTTTACTTTCGTCTCATGACGCATTTTACCGTCCCTGCTTGTCCGTTGTATCGGATTCGTAAATAGCAAACTATTTTCAATTATAACTCGAAAACTAAGCTTCGAACAAAATTTTGTAAAAGGAAAAATCGTCTCAGAATTTACTCAAGAATATGGCATTGCAAGGACATCAGGTTATTTTGAATCACCCTGTATATAATCTATAATTTAATCAAACAAATACTTCTGAATACTGGCACGACGCTGTCCAAGCTCCACGCTTTCAATTGTTTTTCAACGACTCATCCGTGCTTATATTAATGCGAATCCGCCAGGTTCGTAACTATCTGAAGAATACAAAATTCTGAAATGAATGGCATTTATCACTGCACAATTCACACATCACATTCTAAACGAAACGGATACTCACTGGGACTCACTGCGAAACTCGATGGATAATTCGAATAAACGTCGCGTCGGAACCAAAGAAACTGCGTATAAGAAAACGCGAGCTATACCGCACGGAAGACGCCAAACGATACAATGCACGATGCGAACGGAAAATGGCGGAAAATGATCGCTACGCGTGCGAGCATGCGTACATCTAAAGTCAGTATTTACTTCCTTGGTAGTAAGGACCTATGGATCTAAGAATATATGGACAGAGCGATAGTCAGCGGGGTTGAAGCATGGACCTAGGAATATATGGAGAGAGCGATAGCCAGCGGGATTAAAGCCAGAGGGGCAGGAGGAAAACTAGTTTACCAAGATGGCGGCTACGGATAACCCGTGTAACTAAACGAGTGCGGAATTTCTAATATATGAATATTATTCATTACGCAAGCGCCAAGCCAAGATTAGGTTAATAACACCGCCATTTTGTTAGCCGACCAACATGCCGCTGCATGATTTCCCCCTGCCGCTCAGGCTTCATCCCCTTCGCCTATAAGACCACGTATCGCTCTGTCCATATATTCCTAGGTCCATGGGTTTACCATTGTCGATAGTACTGATGGTTACCAGTCTTCTTGAAGTATACTTTACAACTCATTGTTGTAATCGATACTTATGCACTTGTAAGAGTTATTACAATACGGTTTACTACAATTCAGTTGTACAAGTTTCAAGAATCGATTGTATGCCAAACTACAAATTTTTTTAGAGTTACTATTTTTTGTGTAATGGTTACCACAATTCCGTTACTATACTTGCTGTTGTAAATGTGACAATAGTATTTTTCTCCGTGCGGCAATTAAAGAAAGATCAAAGTCTGCGTCTTTCTCATCTTATTCCTTTTCTCCTTTTTTAAATCTCTATCTCTTTCTCTCCCT